AGAAAAGTGCTGAGATTGTCCTAATCTGTATTAATATCATCTTTTAAAACTCCACATTTCATTGAAAATGATAAAGAAGGCAGTTGTTAATGCAGAGACTCACAGTGGGCCAAAGTAGGGAGACTAAGTGACTATTGGGTGGTTAGCCCTAAACTGGACATCTATAGCACCCCATGAAGGTCCATGAAATGTTGGGGAGGAGTGAAGTGGTAATACGTGTGAAGTGTTAGAGAATGGGGAAGTAGGCTCTGAAAGGCTGTTTTCTGGACATAGACTGCACAAAATTGGGCCCTTGAGCATCCCATCATGGATCAGGAAATGGGTGGGGTGCTTATGAGATCTTATCCCTCCCTGAGAGGGGTCAGGGAGGTGTAGTTCATGGTAAGTTGCCCATGCTACCGGAAGTAACTTAACCCACGCTCATTCAAGCCACTCAGTGAGTCAAAAGAAAAGATTGATTCAACATATGCAAATAAATATGTGTAATTCAACACATAAATGGCTTTAAGGAACAGAAACCACAAGGTCATCTCAGTTGACATTAAAAAAAAATAGGGCTTCTACAAAGTTCAGCATTCCTTTCATTGTTGGAGAATGCCCCTAGCTTTGTTCCTGGCTGCCCAGAACGGAAATAATCACACAGAAACCATATTAATTAAATCACTGCTTGGTCCATTAGCACTAGCTTCTTATTGGCTAACCCTTACATATTAATTTACCTCATTTCTATTAACTTGTGTATTGCCACAAGGCTGTGGCTTACCAGGAAAAGTTCTGGTGTCTGTCTCAGCGGGGCTACATGGCTTCTCCCTGACTTCACCTCCTTTCTCCCAGCATTTGGTTCAGTTTTCCCCGCCCTACCTCTGTTCCCCTATAGCTATGCTATAGGCCCAAAGCAGTTCCTTTATTAACCAATGGTTTTCACAGCATACAGAGGGAAATCCCACATCATTTCATGATAAAAGTCCTGCAGACACTAGGAATAAAATGAACATGTCTCAGCCTAACACATCTATAGGCAATATTATGCTAAATGAGGAAAAAACTGAGAGTATTTACTCAAAAATATGAAACAAAACAAGGTCATTCTCTATTGACTTGACTGTAATGCTTAAATTTTTAGGATCAATGAGAAAAAGAAATACAAGAGACACACATATAAAAGCATGAAGTCAAAGTATCCCTACTTGCTGCTGGTGTCATCTTATACCTAAGAGATACTAAAGACTGTCTAATTTCTTCATCAATTTCTAAAGATAGTTTTGTTAGACACATCAATCTTGGTCAGAAGTTATTTAATTTCAGTTCTTGAAATGTATCCTTCCATGCTTTCCTTCTTAAGATTCTTGCTTACAAGAGTGCTGATGTCACTGTTTCTGTCTTTGTTGGTGAGCTGGTCTTTTTGCTAAGATTCTTGCTTATAAGAGACCTAATGCTATTGTTTCTATCTTTGTTGATGAGATGGTGGGTTTTATTCATGCTTTTAATATTGTTTTTCACTTCCTGTTTTTGATACCTTGGTTATAATATGTCACAGAGGGGTTCTTTTCTTGTTCTGTGTACTTGAGTTCAAAATGCCTCTTGTGCTTGGATGTCTTTTTCTCTAGATTTGGGGAATTAATGCTACAATTATGTTGACTATATTCTCTGTGCCTCTAGTGTTTCTCTGCGACCCTTCTTCTATTGTTTGGATTCTGTGGTTTGGTCTCTTGATTGTGTCCCTGAGTTGTTGGATGCTGTGGTCATGCTTTTTAAATCTCCTTTGTGTTTGAATGCTACTACATCTCATTATCCTTAACTACCTTTTCTCATTTTCTTCCTTCTGCCTACTTGAGTCTATTAGTCAAATTTTTCTCTTTTTTCTGTTTGTTTCACTTTGATATTTGACTCATTAAGGTTTTCATTTCCAATATTTCTTTTTTCTTTCAAAATTTTAATCCTTTGCTGAATTTTCTTCAATTTCGCTGTCTTTTTAATCCATACGGATGATGTTTGCCTCTGTGTTGCTGATTTTCCTTTCTAGATTCTGGATTGACGTCATCTACTTGTTCATAGTCACTTTCAGACCACTGGTCATTTTTATCAGAAACATCTGAAGTTCTTCACCTGGCGTTTGACTTATTTCAGGATAGGTCTTTGGATTCAGAAGTTGAGTGTGGGAGAGTTACAATGCTTTGCTTTTTCATGTTTCTTGCATTCCTGTGTTGCAATCTGTACATCTGTTTGTTTGATACCACTTCTAGATTTAGTGGTCAATATTCCTATTGAGCAGCCTACTCTTGAGGGCTCAATCTCCAGCACCACTTGGCAAGAAAAAATTAAATGCTGTATCAGCAATGACACCAAACCATATGAGATATGCAAATATATTTGTATAATATACTAATATATCACCAATGATCATAAAACTGAAAAACTACTATAGAATGTATTATGAATACATTAAATATCTTCACATTATTATAAAGTAAAAATTATTTAGGGTAAGTGTAAAAATACTAAACCGATAAGATAACAGCATAAGATGCTGTCAGAAAACTCCAGGAAATGATGAATATCTTCAGCGGAGTAGCAGGACAGAATCAGCACACGAGAATCAGTAGCCTTAATACAGATCAGCAATGAATTCATTGAGGGAGGGAGTTCTCATTCCCTGTAACTTCTGGATACTAAACTAGTTAGAAATAAACCAAATGAAGGAGATGAAAATTTTCTACAGTGAAAACGTTAAGACACTGAATAAATTGGAAAGGATAGTAGAAACTAGAATGCCCTCCCATGCTCAAGAACAGGCAGAATAAATCTGCAAAAATGACTATTACCAGTAAAAGATGTCTACAGATTCAATGCCACACTCATCAAAAATTCTGCTGCCATTCTTGACAGCCCTGGAAAAGATAACCCCAAAATTCCCGTGGAAGCACAGAAGACCCCGAATAGCTGAAGCACTGCTTACCAGGAAGAGCAAAGCTGGAAGTATTACAGTACCTACCAGAGAGATGCCCGCTTGTTCATTGCGGCACGACTCAAGCTAGCTAGGGAGTAGGACCAGCCTAGATGCCCTTCAGCTGACGACTGCACAGTGATAACATGCTGGTCCAGGGCTCGGTGGTTAAGAGCACTTGCTGCTTTTCCAGGGGACCTGAGTTTGGTTCCCATCACCCGTGTCAGGCAGCTCATAATCACTTGGACCTCCAGCTCTAGGTGATCTGACACCACTTTTGACCTCAGTTGGCACCCACACTCGAGCACACATACCCACACACATATTTAAATTTAAAACCTACATTTTTTAAAAAGAAATGTGGTAAATATACACAATGGAATTTTTATAGGTTCATCAGGAAAAAAATGAAGTTATTACCTTTGTAGGAAAATGGATGCAATTGTAAATCACGTTAAATAAAGTATGTTTGACTCAGATAGACAAATGCTTTGCATATTTAGAATAATGTTCTAGAATGGTTAATAGCACAGGATACTAATAAATAAGCCTGATATTAATTTTATAATATTAGAACTTATTCACTCAAAATTAGTCATTTAAATAATAAAGTTTTCAGCTAAAGAAATCTATTTAGAACCGGGCGGTGGTGGCACACGCCTTTAATCCCAGCACTTGGGAGGCAGAGACAGGCGGATCTCTGTGAGTTTGAAGCCAGCCTGGTCTACAAGAGCTAGCTCCAGGACAGGTTCCAAAACTCCAAAGCTACAAAGAAATCCTGTCTTGAAAACCCAAAAGAAAAAAGAAAAAAAAAAGAAATCTATTTAGCTCTTACACTGGTCATGAAAACGTGTAGCAGTTAAGAACGTATTTCTGGGCAGTGGGATACCCTAGCAGGTTAAAGCACTTGCCACCAAGCCTGAGAAAGTGACATCAATTCCTGAGGCCCACATGGTGCATGGAGAGAACTGGTTCCAACCTCCATGCACACACATTGTGGCACCCCCCCAGTAAATAAGTATAATAAAACAATAAAAAAAAGATTTAATGTAAGTAGAATGTGTTCAGACAAATAAACTAAGGCAAATTTTTATTATCAGGAGCAGAATACGAATCTAGATTTAAAACTCCATATTTGTGTGTTTATATATGTATATGCTTAAATATGTGTGTTTGTAGATCATGAAACTACAAAGGGGAGCCCAAGAGGGATGAGTGCGTAAGAAAACTAGGTAACAAAAAAGTGAAAGGGGGAATTATTGAAGAAAGAAACCCAACCCGTGGGAGGTATGGTCAAGTACAATCAGGGAACGGAATAAATGAAAGCAAACATAATGCCATCCATGTGAGAAGATGCCATGATTAGGCCCATTATTTTGCATGCTAACTTAAGAAATTAATACTTTTTAAAAGGTCTATTTATTTTATTTGATGTGTATGTGTGTTTGCCTGCATGTCTGTATATGCACCGTGTGTATGCCTGGTACTGATGGAGGTCAGAACTGAAGTGACAGACTATTGGGAGATGCCATGTGGGTGCTAGAAAGGAACCCGAATCCTCTGCAAGAGCAGCAAATGCTCCTAAGTGCAGAGCCATCTCTCTAGCTCCATCTCTCTAGCTCCAGTAATGATTTCTTAAAGTTAAAAAATATAACCGCATGAAGGAGATGAGAGGATGTTCCTCCGAAGGGAAAAGATATCTCATGTAACCACTAGGTAAAAAAAGGAGTTCACATTCCAGATGTAGTTTGCAGCATCTTCCAATTAGAACATTTTTGGTTACTCAGGGTCTATGTTTTCATATTTTAATGGCAGTCTCTTGGCCAGGAAGAAAAGGAAAATGAGTAAAAGCCAGGGAATGGAGACATTCCTTTCTTATTTCTGAGAGGAAAAGATCCTGTTTTCTTCAACTTCCTGCAAGTCGGAAGTCCAAGCAAGCCTGGAACACCACACACCTAACCTCAGTGTTCTGGAAAAGATAGCCAGGGCTGCGTGAGCGGGGCGGGGCGAGGGGCGTGGCGTGGTGGGGAGGAGGCGGGGCGGGGCGGGGCTACGGCCGTTGCAGCGCCTGGTTCGGCGGTGGAGCCCAGGGATGAAGCAGCTGTGCTGTTCAGGGCGTGTGCTGTGGCTTGGACTCGTACTGGCTGCTTTCTCCCAGGAGCAAGAGAGCAAACCTAGGAGGCTGTGCGGCAGGCACCTGCTGGTAGAAATTACAAAACTGTGTGGCCAAACTGACTGGAGCCAGTTCGAGTTGGACGACCAAAGTCCTCTGACCCATCTCTCTCACCACTTCTTACAGACTGAAGTCAAAACCTTCAGCCCTGACCAAATCCCTTCTTCAGCCTGGGGAAGATTCACAAACCCAGGTAAAACTCTGAAGGGAGGGTGTGCGTTTGCTCGCCAGTGAGCATTTCTTAGACCCTACTTTGCTCTGCCCGTGAGTTTCTGCAGGAGATAGAAATCTGTGCCTAGAATACTGTAAAGAAAAATTTTAAAACATACAATCTAATATGAATATCTAGAAGAAATAATATGGCCAGAGTAGGCCTTATTAAAAAGGTAACATTTGACAAAAGAGGTTGCAGTGATTTGAATGTGTGTGCAAATTCCATGTGTTAGAAGTTAAATCCCCCAGCTGCAGTGTTAGGAGGTGAAGTCTAGTGAACGGGAACTAAATACCTTTGAAGTGGATTCGGGCCATCATCACAGACGTGGATTATCCTGAGTGAATCTGTTGCAAAATCAACTTCGTCCTCCTGTCGCCTCTTGTTCCCACACTCGTCTTGCACCTCCACTAGGGGATGATGTTACAGGAAGGTCCTTGAGCACTGTGCCATCTACAAATCATGAATTAAGTTCAGTTTTGTTCATTTGAAATTATCCACCGCCAGGCATCGCGTTGTGACGGTAGAAAATGGACTGAGGGGCGAGGGTGTTTGTTTACGGGAAACAGCAGGGAAAGACAGCTCTATCTTAACTCTACTGGGAACAGCAAGGAGGTCTGGGTGGCCTGTATAGGAAGTGAAAGAATCAGCGAAGGTCAGGAAGGTTCCTTCAGAATGGCTGATAGTGGAAAGAACACAAAACCAAAGAGCAATACGTGTGGAGTGGAAACCAATAAAGGACATTGGGAAGGACCGGAGTGGGCAAGAGCAGATGAGCCGTCCTGGTGTGGCTAGTTCATCTATGCAGAGAGGTGGGAAGGGAGGTTATATGGGGACAGATGTTAAGAAATGAACTCAAAATGGTGAAAAGTCTGCTGATTGCAACAGCTGCTGGCTGACCGTAAATTAGCGTTGACACATTTTGTGACTTTGACCTTTCTGATCTAAGCTTTTCTTCTATGTTTGTAAAATGTATTTTAGATTTACTTAATTAATTTCATAGTTTCTTTAAACTCTGTTTGCAAGAGAAATGACTTATGAGAACCTTAAAAAAAAATAAAAAAAACTCTCAGTCTTCTTACCAGATCTGGAATTATAGGGATTGTTAATGAGCTCCCTAAAATGACACGGAACTGTTGGTAAATCACTGTTTTTTTAGAAATAGGTGGACCCCACCTCGAAGACCCTCTGTGTGCATCTCCTAGGGGGTGACTGGTTATGCTCTTGATTTCTTTGTCATTAAATGACTTAAGTTTTGTGTTTCTCTGTGGATTTAGTTTTTCATAGGATTCCATTTCATCTTGATTCCAAATGTTTAATGAACGTTTCTCCAGAATCTTGCTTCTCTCCACACTTTTCCTTCTCTTCTCACTGTAGTCTGTTCCCTTGGATCTTTGTTTTCTTGTTTAGTGTGGTTATAATTCTGTTTTATTAATCGCAGTAGCAGCAGAAAGGGGGAGTCCTCTAGCTCCAGGGACAGAGTGTCCCTGGCAAAACCTCACAGTGAAAGAAGAGGGGAAATGAAAACCCAGCAATGAATTCAGAAGGCCCAGCTTCTTACACCTCCATCCCCTCCCTTTCCCTTTCTTCCTCCTCCTCGCCCCCCCTCTTTGCTCATTTGTATTATGTCCTCTATTCTATGACAAGCCTCATAAAATCTTTTCAGTCTTGAATCGCACTAACTCTTCTTTTTCTTATTACTTACTTCTAATTTTAAAATCCAGGAATCTAAGGGGGCCGATTAATTTTCCCATATGCCATGAATCATCACCCACCATGTTAGAGTTCTTTCTTTGAGCGTACAATGGAGTTGCGTAATGCACATCATGGCTCACGAAGTTGAATCTGAGGTTAAGGCCTTGGAAAAAAAAGGTCCTCTTAGGAAGAACTGAATATGACCACAGTGAACATCCACAAAACCTCTGCATAATTATATTCAGGAGTTATTTTAGTTCCTATAATCCAGATCCAGTGTCGATTGAGTTCAGAACAATATAACAATAAATCTGTACATCTCAGCTTCTCACATTCTTCTATTTTGCTTCTACTGCTTAGTTATAACCTACACATAAAAAGGCAATCTGAGCCCGGCGATGGTGGTGCACGCCTTTAATTCCAGCACTCCGGAGGCAGAGGCAGGTGGATTTCTGTGAGTTCGAGGCCAGTCTGGTCTACAAGAGCTAGCTCCAGGACAGGCTCCAAAGCTACAGAGAAACCCTGTCTCGAAAAAAAAAGGCAGTCTGACTGGGAACTAACAAAGGCAACCAACAAACAATAAGAATGAATGTGAGATTTAATGGGTATTTCTCCAAAGATGACAGACAAGAAGCCCATGAGAAGATGCTCAGAAGTACCACGGTGTTGTGGGGATGCCATGGAGCACGACCCCAGGACCTAATGGTTCCATTCCTAGGTTTATCCCCCAAAGGACTGAAAACATGAACACATGAAAATGTGGGCGTGAATATCCATGGCAGTGTTATTCCTAATAGCTAAAACCTGAAGACAACCAAAATATCCAGGACCCAATAGATGAATGAGTGGAATGTAATATGGGAAAGCCACACAATGGGAAGTTATTTCGCCATGAAAGGAACAAAGGAGGAGCATGTAGAAGAACATCCTGGATAAAGATGGGGAATATTATGATAACTGATAATTGAAAGACAGACAAAAATGACCACACAGCAGAAGCTACCCCTGTGTGAAATGTACAGAGTAGAGAAATTCATGGAAAAGAGAACAGACGATGGTCTGCCCTGCGCTAGAGGGAGAGCGCATGGGAGAGACTGTTGGTGGGGGCTTCTGGCTTGTTTGTTTGTTTGTTATTGTTTTTGAGAGATGAAAGAAATGTTCCAGGATGCGATAGCGCTGATGGTGGCACAAGCTTGTAGATCTGCTAGGAACCACGGGTTTCCCACTGTTGTGAAATGCTGAATTCTACACCACGGGAGTGGTATTGTAATAAAAATACCACAAAATAGTTGAAGGTGGCTCAGTCTTCTATTTTAGTTAAAGTGTGTTGCCTCTGGACAATTGTACTTCCCAACCTTTACTTCAAACGATTTTTTTTAAATAATTAGCTGATTTTAGTATTCTAATGTTAAAGTCACACCTAATAGAAGATTTGAATAAATAGGATTTTTTTTTCCTTCTCTTTCAACAGTCCCCATATCTGCCTCTCAGGAGAAAGCAATAAACACTTGGGAACCCCAGCTCTCGCCTGACTATCAGTTTGAAAAGTCCAGCTTGCTTCCTGAGAAGACAGGAGTGTTTGCATCTCGCGATGTGCATCCCAATGTTGAGCGTGTGAGACTTCAGGAGAAAGGAACAGACAAAATCAGCGCCTTCAGCCGTTTATTTTGGGGGATCCACCCCCAGCGGAAACGCAGAGGTTTCTCAGATAAATGCTGTCTTAAAGGGTGCACAAAGGAAGAGCTGGCTGTCGCATGTCTCCCGTATGTTGATTTTTAAAACTTAACGATAACACAAACATCCCTGGTGACTGAGATGTCCAAGCCATCGTAGACACCATGCTAGCTTAATAAATACGTTCTGTGTCTAATCTACCACTTATTAGTTCCTGAAGTTATGCTTGTAGGCTATGCCTTTGTGAACTAAACAGGAGAACATTCATGAGCAGTTGACAGTGTCGCATGGTGGTCAGGCATCTAGGTAGTTAGTGGCTCCTTTTTGTCATGCGTATTTTAAAGGTGATGTCACCATAAGTGCCACAGTCCATGCAGACATTTAGAAATCACCTATTTGGGTTTTGTCTTTATGGTTGAAAATTCTTAGGCTACATTTAAATGGAATATGGAACGTTATACATTCTTTCTGTCTAATATACATATCCACGTCCATAACTACATGCTCATTTCCGGAAGTCAGTTTGTCTCAGCAACTTAAAGCCGCTGACTTCCCCTCTCAGAGAAGCTATTGTACTGCAATAGCAGGAGGCACATTTTTAGGTCCTGGAGTTTTATTCATGCCCCTTTCCCTGCTGAGCCATCTTCCCAGCCCCGGGTGAAATAATTTTAATGATATAAAGCTGAGCAAATCGTAATCTGAAGGTTCCAGAGTAGAATTCTTACCCACTCATTGGTGGGTTAGAGTCAGCCAAAGCTTTCTCTAGATTTCTTCCCAATTGTGCCGTGTAATATTCTGCTCAGTGGACATTTCTATTCCTTTTCGGCTGCATTATGTCTTTGAAAAAACTTCTCCACGCAAACATCTATTTCTTGTGTATTTGTAAACTGTTTTTCCTGCTACTTTCAGAGTATAGTCTGCAGTTAGTTACTTTGTAAATGGAGAGAACTACCAAATCTGATACGAATTTATGTCTAGTCATGCTTGAGTAGGTCTACAAGGCTTTAGATTTAGAAAATTTACCTTCAGATTTGGACAAAACCAGATTTGTTAAGGAAATGGAACCCTAACATCAGACCTAGGCATTCCAGTAGGGAGGGACATAGAGTGGCCCAACCCATACAGTAGGTACAGTGGCCTCTACCCCTAGCAAAACTTTCAGCCAAAGAGTAAAGAAAACAGGTTTCACCAAACTGCAGAGGTTCACAGCCTGGCACGGTTAAAGTTAAAGAAGAGAGGTCCATGGTTCACCAAGGGAGGTCCATGGTTCACCGAGCAAGCAGGTGCTGGAGAAGGACCCTGCACCTGCCAGCTTGCTCACTGGCCCTGGGTGGAGATCGATTTTAAAAGAGATCTTATTGTCAAGCCTTTAGCTGGAGGAAACAGGAGTTCCTGCCATTTTCAAAAAATGATTTTTTTTTTAAAAGTAGCAAAGTATACATACAGTCATGGTTCTATAGGGAAACAGAACCAATAGAATGGATATACATATATTAAAAAAGGATTCACTGGAATGGCTTACATAGTTCAGTCAGGGCAGTCCAACAGTGGCTGTCGTCACACTGGAGATGCTGAGATCATAAAGCTGGATGCTTCCGCAGTCCCAGTCTGGTACTGAAGGCCTGGAGGATTCCTAGGGAGCCGCTGGTCTTCAGTCCAAATTACTCTCCATTGGAAGCTTGAAGAAGTTGGGTTCTGACATCAGCAAAGGAATATAGTGGTGGCGGCGGTGGTAGCAGTGTAGATGAACTTACTAACAAGGTAGAAGAACTGTCAGACAGAAGGCGAATGGGCAAAAGCTAAGCCTTTCCCCTTAGGCCTCTTTATATCTCGGTTGCCACCAGAAGGTGTAACCCACATCGAATAGATATTCCCACTTGAGAAAGTCCTTCACAGTCGTGGCCAGATGTTTGCCTCTTGGTTGAACCCAGGGCCAGTTAAATTGACAACCAAGACTAAGTAAGCATCCAACAGAGAAATGTATGTCTCATTATTGCCCCTCCACGCACATTTTGTTTCTGTTGAGCCTCCTCCCACATGCTGCTCCCTCATCCCATTGCTCCCCTGCCCCACCCATTCCCTTCTTCTCTCTAATACCCCCCAATTCTACCTTTGAGTTGAGTATATTCCATTACTCTTTCCCTTCCTTAAGTCTTCTCTCCCCAACTCTTCCCTTCCCCAGTTACACTTACATATGTAAATGTCAAAGTCTACAACCACTGTACAAGAAGAAACATAGTGTTTGTATTTCTGAGTCTGGGTTACTTTGTTTAATATAACAATTCACAGTCTCATACGTTTTCTTGAAAATGCCATAATTTTATTTTTCTTTAGAGTTGAATAAAACTCTGTTGTGTATATGAACCACATTTATTTATCCGTTCACTTGTCCATGACCACCTAGGTTAGCCATTGTGAACAGTGCAGATATAAGCATGGGCGTGCAAGCATCTCTCCTATATTGACTCTGAGTCCTTTAGGTATATACCTAGGAGTGGTATTGCTAGGTCATATGGTTGTTTGTTTTCCAGACAGGGTCTCACTATGGAGTCCTGGCTGTCCTAGAACTTACCATGTAGAACAGGCTAGTTTCAAACTCAGAGATCCGCCTGCCTCTGCCTCCCCAGGCTTGTGCCACCACCACCCAGCCAACAGTGTTCTTTTAACTTTGTGTTTCCTTATGCATGTTTTTCTTCCTAGTTCTGTGAGGAATGTTTCTGAGATTTTGATGGTAATTGCATCGATTCAGCGAGGACTTTAGACACTGTAGCCACTTCACAACATGCTGTCGGACTAGAAGCACAGACGATATCCCTGTCATCCCGTGTCGTCTTCAATTCCCATTTTTAATATCTTAAGGATTTTATTGCAGAGATCTTTAACCCCCTTCATTAGATTTATTTATAAATATCATTATATTTTTGTGAAGCTACTATGAATAGATATTTTTCATTTCTTTCTCGGCCAGTTTATTGTTGGTGTATAGAAAAGCTACTGATCTGGTCTATATATTATGGCTTTGAATCATGTAACTTTGCCTGAAAGCACTTATCAGATACTACACTTACCTTGTGGAGGCTATAGATTCTTTTAAATATAGTATAATGTCATAAGCAAATAGACACTATTTAATTTTTTTTCCTTTCCTACTTGTATTCTTTTCAATTTTTTTTTCCCTCTGGTCTCCTTTGCTCTAGCTAAGACTTCAAGTGCTAAAATGAATATGAGTGGGGGGGCAGATTTGTCTCATTTCAGATTTTAGAGGAAATACTTTTTGAGTTCTCTAATTTTACATAATATTAGGAATACGTTTATATACAACTTTGATTGTGTTGCGATACAGACATTCAATTTCTAATCTTGGGGGGACTTTTTATCAAGAAGGCATGTTAAACTTTGTCAAGACCTTTTCTTCATCCATTAAGAGGATTAACTGATTCCTGTTCTTCAGTCTACTTATATATTACATTTACTGATTTGCATATGTTGTACACACACTTTGTCCCTTAGATGAAAACAACTTGAACATGATTTATGATCTTACTGTGCTCTTGAAGTCAGCTTGCAAGTGTTTTCATTGAGAACTTTTGTGTGTGCGCTCAGCAGGGATATCGGCCCACAGTTCTCTGTTGTTTTATCTGCCTGTGGCACATTCGCTATTTCCTAGGACAGTACTAGATCTGAACAATGAGTTTAGTTGTGTCCTTTGCTTTCTACTTTGTGGAATAATTTGCTCGGAAAGTATTTGTATTAGGTCTCCTTTAAAAGTTTGCCAAAGTCAGCAGCGAATCTGTTTGGTTTGGGACCTGACTTTGTGCTGACAATTACTGCTTTGTTCCCATAACAAACAATGCGGATTTGGGTAGCTTTACGTGTTTAGGAATTTATCCACTTTTCTAGGTTTTCCAGTGTGTTAAAAATTAAGTTTTCCTTAATGATCTTCCTTATTTCCTTGTAATCCATCGCTGTAACTTTGCTTTCATCTCCAATTTTACTTTGTCGTTTGGTTAGTTTATCAATTTTGTTTCTCTCTTCAAGACATAACTTCGCTTAGGTATTGTTCTGTTAACCTATATTTCAATAATTTCAGTTATGACTCTTATCTCACTGGATACTGCATTAGGACTTGGCTTCTTCTTGTTCTAGAACCTTGAGGTGTGTCATTAGGTTGAAGTTTCTCTGATTTCTTCTAAAATTTGAGTACTAAGAAAACTTCCTCTTATAATTTCTTGGCCGTATTTGAGAGGTTCTGGTGGCTTGTGCTATCATTTGTATTCGAAGCTAAGAATTAAAAAATATCCTCCACTGTTCATACAAAAGTATATTTGATATTCAAATATTTCTGCAGTTTCTTTGTTTTCTCTTGCTGTTAATACCTAGTTTTATTCTATCATTATATGTTAAGATACAAGGAATTATTTTTAATTGCTTTGCATTTGTTAAGGCTGGCTATATAGACAGTCATGATTGATTTTAAAGAAGCTTTTATTACTACTGAGAACATATAGGTCCTATCTATGAAATATTCTGTAAATCTGTTAAATCCAGTTGATTTGTGGTATAGTTCAAATCTGTGCCAGATTTTCGTTTAGAAGATCTATCCAAAGGTGAGAATGGCAACCAAAATATTGTATTGTATCTGATCATGTCTGATTTTTCATGCTTTTTAGTGTTTGTTTTATGAAACTAGGAGCTCCAAGATCTGGTACATAAATACACATTCTTGTATCTTCTTGGCAACTTGTTCCTTTCTTTAAAATGCATATTGATATTCTCTCTTCTAATTAGCTTTATTTCAAAATCTACTTTATCAGATATCAGAATTGTTATATTAACTTGCTTATGGCTTCTGTTTGCTTTGTATACTGTTTTCCATATTCCTAGTTTTTGAATATCTTTGCAAATGAAATGTATTTGACACATAGTTGGATCTTATCTTCTAACGTGGTATGTCTTGATTTTTTAGTTGGTAAGTTGAAGTCATTTGCATTTAATGTTATTTTAAGAAAGGTTTACTATTTCCTATGGTTTTGTTGGTTGTTGTTCTGTTTGGTTGTGTCATTGATAATTCTTCCCTTCCTATGCTATT